ATGGTTCAATGTCTTCTGCGCATTGTCTGGGGGCAGGCACAGCCTATGGGAGAAAGGAGGGGCCCCTAACTCCAAGGGGGTATCTAAGTTGAGGCTTAAAGACAGACTAAGAGTTTCTAGGTGCAGAGAAGAGGGCTGGCATCCCACTGGCAGAGGGCACTGCATGAATATAGACAGGAGAAACCATTCCGGTACAGGCCAGGAAACCAAACATAAAACGCAGTCTGTGCTGCTGGACTGTTGAGTTGCAGGGTTGAGGGAACCAGTGAGGACACAGAAGGATAGACAAGTTAACAGGGCCTACAACACCCCCTCCCCCTGGCCAGAGTTTGCACTTTGCTCCAAGGGCAATAGCCAGTCTCTGTCTGATTCTATGCAGGAGGGTAACTTGGGTTTGTGTTTTTTAAAGATTGCAATGGGGACTTCCCCGGTAGTCCAGTGGCTAAGATTCTGCACTCCCAATGCAGGGGACCTGGGTTTGATTATTGGTCAGAGAACTAGAACCCACATGCCACAACTAAGACTTCTCATGCTATAACTAAATAGTCCACATGTCTCAACGAAGACTGATGATCCTTTGTGCTACAACTAAGACCCAGCACAGCCAAAAAAAAAAAAGATTGCTATGACCAAAAGATTGCTATGACCAATGCATAGAGGATGGATTTGTGGAGAACAAAACTGGATGTGAGGGTGCTGTAGCTGTGGAGAGGAGATTGGCAGGGAGAGGGTGAGTTAGGCTGGGGAATATTTGAATCAGCTATTCTTTTTTTTCTTTTAACATATATTAAAAAGTTTAATTTATTTATTTGGATTTTCATTTACTTATTTATTTATTTGGGTCTCCTTATTTATTTGGTCTTCTGCTCTAGGTCATCATTGCTACTCACATCCTTTCTTTAGTTGCAGTGCTTGGGCTTCTCACTGTGGTGATGGCATCTCTTCTTGCAGATCATGGGCTCTAGGGCACTCTAGGGCTTCAGTAGTTGCGGTATGTAGGATCTAGAGCATGGGCTCAGTATCTCTTGGCACACAGGCTTAGTTGCTCCATGGCATGTGGGATCTTCCCAAAACAGGGATTGAATTCACGTCTCCTGCATTGGCAGGCATATTCTTAACCACTGGACCAACATGGAAGTCCTGAATCAGCTGTTCTTAACTTCATGTGTCTATCAAGAAAGTGAAGAGAGCAAGAAGCACCCTAACATTTGCTGTAGAAAATTCTGAAGGTGTACAGACACATAACGTCTTTCGACCAATTTTAGGATACGGAGTAAGCACATACCTGACCATCCTAGGCTTAGGAACGATTGCTCCAGCAAGAAATAGGGACAGGACCAGGTAACTGATGGAATATGGTAAGTGAGGAAGAGTGAGGAGACTAATCTACATTCAGCTATTTAGCAAATATTTATTGAACAACTACTGTTGGAAATAAAACTGTTGGAAATAAATAAGCTCTACCCCAATAGAGCTTATAGTCTAATAGGGAGACATAAGCTAAACAAATACATATAATTTGTTACGTGTATTTTGTTATTTATATGTTTTTGTTATTTAACAAAAACAAACATATACAAATACATTGTTACAAGTGGTGAGTAAGTGTAGAAAAGAAAAGGATAGTTTTTTTCTTATGGAAGAGGGGTCTTTAAAAGCTATGCTGGAGTCAGTCTGCCCAGGTTTAAACTCCTGCTTTGTCTCTTATTAAATAGGTGACCTTCGCTAAGTTACATAACTTTTTGGTGCCTCAGTTTCTTCACTCATAAGATAGAGGTAATTATAATTTCTACCTGATAGGGTTGCCATGAAGAGTAAATGAGTTCTAAGCAAAAACGGACAAAAAAGTTCCAAGAATAGTACTGCGCTTGTGTGTCCGTTAGCCATTACCATGAAATCATCTGACAGGATCTATCTCTGCTTGGGGGTCAGGGAAGGATTCCCTGAGGAAGTGATCTTTGTGAGGACCTCTGAACTATGTGCAGGGGAGAGTGGGGTAGGGGGAAGAATCCTAGGCAGAAGAAAGGACCTGTGCAAAGGGCCTGAGGCAGAAGGTACCACTGAGAGAAGAGGTGAGAAAACGCCTTCGTGACAGGGCCCAGAGGGAGAGAAGGGGGATTGGGGAGTTTGGAAGGATGGCAGAGGCAGATTCTGTTTTGAGGATCTTTCTCTTCATCCTCAGAGATTTAGGAAGCCACTGACAGTGTAGGTCCAAGAAGAATAGGATGACATTTGGATTTTAATGTGACCCCTGTAGGTAGAGAGTGGAACGGTGTGTGTGTAAATAGCTGCAAGATGACAGGTTAGGGTTAGGAGGGTAGGCAGGCATCCAGGGAGAAATATCATAGGGGTGGTGCTGGTGGGAGCACAGGTGGAGGGCTGTGGAAGGTTCCGGGTATCAGGAAGCAAAATCACCATAGAGATGTGTGGGAATGGAGGGGATGGAGAGTGTCAGGATGACCTCTGAGGTTTCCATGAAAACAGGCAGTGGTTTTTCACTGAGATGGGGAAAACTGAAGGTGAACTGGGAGGGGTTGCTGGGTGAGTAAGGATGGGAGGCTGCAGAGGGGGTCATGAAAAATGCAAGTTTCACTTTAGACGTGTTGAGCTTGAAAGACCTTTGGGACCCTGGAGGTGGATGTAGAATAGGCCTGGGTTTGGAAGCACACGAGGATGGGAAGTTGTCAGGAGACAGGTGATCACGTGGCTGTGGATGAGGCCCAGATTGGCCAGAGAGAAGAGAAGGTGCCCCAGGATGGAGCTGTGAGGCACACCCACAGGTTGCAGCTGTGAAAATGAGGGTATACCTGCAGAGGCTGCGAAGGAGGGCCCAAGAGGTGGGAGAAAATCCAGGAGAGTGGGCATAGGGAAGGAAGCCAAGGGAAGAAAGCTGAGAGTTTCGGGCAAGTGGGAAGAGTCAAGGGGAAATACTCTGAGAGCTCAGAAGGATAAGGATGGGACCAGCAGCTTCAGTTATTGACAGACATGGGACTGTTGGTGGTTTTAGGGAATACTCTTTGTGCAAAGTGATGGAGAGGGTCAGATGGCAGCGGTCTGATGAGTGAAGAAGGGGTGAGGGAGGCAGTGGGTCTTTTGAGAAGTATTTGTGTAAAGGGGAGGAGAGAGATGTTGTCACAGGCTCCGTGTGTGTGTGTGTGTTGGGGGAGGGGAGGTGTGTTAGAAGGTGGAAGAGACCTGAGTTTGTTTTCAGGCTGATGGCAGATCAAGGGGAGAGATTAATTAAGGGTGTGGGAAAGAGGGGAGGCAACCAGTGAGCGATGTTCACGAGTGTGTGCGAGGGGATGGGATCAGGCGCGTGGGTGGAAGGGCTGGTCTTGGAAAGAAGGAGGGATGACTTCTCTAGAACCAAAAGAGGGAACAAAGAGAGGATGGGTGCAGATGTAGATGTAGGTTTGTAGTGGGATGTTAAGGGAGATTTCATCTTCAGCTTCTATTTTTTCTACAAAGTGGGAGGCAAGGTCTGCTGAGAGCGAGGGAGAGGTGGTGAGGCGTTTGAAGGAAGGAGGAGAGTGTGCATTCAGAGGAGCAAACTTACCCACAAAATTTCAAATGCCTGACAGTGTTGACAACCCCAGTGTGTCCTATCCTGTTGGCTGGGGGATTTCCCCACTGTGGCTCACCTACCCACGTGCAAGCAGGGGAAAGTCCTGGGTGAGGTTTATCCAGGCCCAGGGCTGTGCCAGATGGGTGGAGAAAAGGGCATAGGGGTCTAAAATGTTGGCAAAAGAGATGCCTAACCTTTGGGCCCTGGCATCTAGGCGGGGCAATGTGGAAAGTAAAGACAGATGCAGTCCATTTTCAGGAAGAGAGTGGAAGACTTCATGGACTGGGCAGCCACAAGGTCAATTACCAGGAGCCTGAGCTCAGAGGGGATTGGCAACTCAAATTGATGACTATGCCCTGGCCACTGACTGGGTGGCTGGTGGGGCTTCTCACTGAGAAGGCGGACAGGGTGATAAACATGTAAATCATTAGGAAGATCAAAGTTTTTTTTAACCCTTCCAAGAACCAGTTTCAGCCCCTTGGGGTATTATGGCCCCAGTTAAGAATGCCTGTCTTAGTAGAATGTAAACTATTTGAAGGCAGATTGGTGGTTCTCATGTTGGCTGCATTATTCCCAACCCTAATCCATAAATACTGGCCAATGCAAGGGTGGTTAGAGCCTGCCTCCTGAGGAAGAGAGGAGGGCAGAGCAGATGGGGCACACGTGAGTACAGATGTAGAAGCAGAAATGTGGGAGGCTTCTCGAAGTCAGTGGAGAACAAAGTGAGTTGTCTGTCCTTGGATGACCTTGGAAGAAATGGAGAATTGGTATTAAATTAAACGAAAACCAAACCAAGACAGTCTAATACCTTTTGTCTGGCAACAGGTTGTTTGTTTTTGTTTTGTTCCTAATAAAATTCATTTTAGGCACTTATGCTTTGTCCTTGGCTCCTGGGAGGCTGCCTCTTCTGTGGACAATTTCTTTATTTCCTTGATTTTCCAAATCATACCCTTCACTGAATTGCCTTGGGGGCCCAAGCATAAAATCAAAACATTAAACTGATAAAATATAACATGGCAACAATTAAGACAGCAACAAACAAAACAGTGCATTAAAAAAAAAAAAAAAAGAACAAGATATGGCCTCGGAGCATTTTTCTACCACTTAGAAAAAGATGTCTTTCTTAGTATTAGAAGCCAGAAGCTTCCAGGCCACTCAACTGTGAGCGACTCTTGGGTAGGGTAAGCAGTATGCCTTGGTTATCTTGACTTCTTGAGCAGGGCACTCAGGAAATAAGTGAAGGAAAGAATGTTAATAGAAGGGAAGGAAGCTAAGCAGGTAGGACTCTACTCCCTTATTTTCCCAGCAAAAGTGGCTCCTGCACAGAGGTGGGAGGTAGCTCAACATAAGGAAGAGGATCCTGGGCCAGGAGTCAGGAAACTGCTTTTTTTGACCTAGCACTGCGGTGTGACCTTGGGCTAGTCTCTTGCCCTCTCTGATCTTCAAATTTTCTTTTCTTCTTTGGAGAAACTGGACTGAAACCAACACAAACACTCTCAAGAGAGGCTCCCTTTGTCCCCAGCGCCCAAAGTTGGCCCCCTTGTCCACTGTGACCATGGGTTCTCCCTGGGCGAAGTCACTTGGGCCAGCTGGTTCCCCACAGCTTTCTTCTCTCTTCTAGGATGAGTTTCTTTTTTCCTTCAATCTCATCAGAGTTTTTAAAGGTAATAAAAGATTGAAAAGTTATTACTGAAGTAACAAGTCAAACAGTTTATAGATATGTAAAGACTGAGTTAATCTTCTCTCTTTCATTCATTCCCAGCCCACTTCCTCCCATCTAAGTACTAACCAGGCCTGACCCTGCTTAACTTCTGAGATCAGACACGATCAGGCACTTTTTGGGTGGTATGGCCACAGACCCATCCCACTTCCTGACACCCAAGTGAGGCCCTGTGGGGCTCCCAGGTACAAAGTCCTTTTTGTCTCCTGTTTCTTATAGACAAGACTCCAGCTTCCATGACTTTCCCTGAGTTTCAAAGGGCAGATTTGAATGGCTGCCAATTAAGAGAGGAGCAGCAAAGTTAAAGGGACCAGAGAATCTCATCAAGATTGGAGGCCACTTGAGATCAGATTAAGCCCTGATCACATATCAGAGACTTCACCTTTGAACCATTGTTATAACACCTTCATCACATCCCCCCAGGTTGGGGACTTCCCTGGCCACCCAGTGGTTAAAACTCTGTGCTTCAAATGCAAGGGGTGTGAATTTGATCCCTGGTCTGGGAACTACACATGCTGGATTGCACGGCCAAAAAAAAAACAATCCTCCTGGTTTGGGACACATAGTCTTTCAAGGCAGAAACCCGTGTGTCTCCTTTAGCTTGGCAAAGCAATAAAGCTGTCCTTTTCTGCTTCACCCAAAAACTGTCTCTGGGATTTGATTCGGCACCAGTGTACAGAGAGGCTGAGCTTTCAGTAACATTCCCTATACTCAGACCCCTTTAACCAGCTCAGGGGCCTGGCCTCATGTTCTTCCTTGTAGACAGACACTGGCATCCTTGGCAAAGTTTCAGTCCCCTAGAACACTCTCGCTTTTTTGTTTTACACAGGGGGCTCATGCTAAACACAAAAGTCCACAACTTACTTTTTCAGTTAATAACATATCAGAGCTGTTTGTCCAGATGTTTGGCTCTGCCACGGGCTTTTGAGTAGTAGGAGCAGCACACATTTGTAGAGTGGGTACCATGAGCCTATGAGATGCACCATAGGAAGCATAGAGCTAGTTATCAACCCTGTTTTTGATGTTGTTTTGTTCACTGCACAGCATGAAGGATCTTAGTTCCCTGACCAAGAAACGAACCCATACCCACTGCAGTGGAAGTGTGGAGTCCTAACCACTAGACCACCAATGAAGTCCCTAACAGCCCTCAGGTAAGAAAACTGAGGTTCAGTGAGGTCAAGGCCTCAGCCACACAGCCAGGGAGTGGCACGACTTGGATAGGCTCTGGCTGCCAGAGTGCCCTAACCAGCCCCCGGTGGGGCAATTGACAGAGGCAGGAGACAGCATGATACAGTTTAGTGCCTTCTAGTTGTTTGGCTAAGACAACAGTGCCACTCAAAACAGACTAGTAAATACATTTGTACAGACTGGAGCTTCATTTTTGTAGGATGGAATCAAAAGTGGGCCAGAGGAGATGCATGGGTTTATTTTAATAGCTAAAGCCAGATTAACTGCCCAAAGGCTTGTAACAAACCACAGTCTCATCGGCATAATTTCTTCTTTATGTGATTTTCTTTCTCAGAGCTGAAAGTGTCCTTGGACAGCAAGGAACTCAGTTGTCTCTTCTTGCCCATAAAGGCACAAGCCCAGTGGTAGGGACTGACTTGGAGGGGTCCCCAGTGGGATAGGGGCAGAGGTAGGCCCCATCCCTCTTGGCGTGGACCACTGCTACACTGTTCTTCCCTCTAGGCAGTCTCTGCCCTCGTGCTCTTCTCCCCTGTCACTCTCTTCTTGCCTGTCCTTTTATTTATCTTTTAAAACAATATTTATTTATTTGGCTGCACCAGGGATCTTAAGTGCGGCATGGGGGACCTAGTTCCCTGACCTGGGATTGAACCCAGGCCCTTTGCCCTGGGAGCACAGAATCTTAGCCACTGGACCACCAGGGAAGTCTCTCTCCCTTGTCTGTTCTTCACACCACATTTGGCATGACACTACTCCTCTGCTTACCGAACCTCCCCCAGATGAACCACTGACCATGGGATCCTATCACAGTCTCCTAATAGACATTCAAACTCATCCCAGTCCGTTCATCCTTCAAAGCCAAAGGCAAATGCCACCTCCTCAGTGATGCCTTCCCTGACTATCCCAGCTTCTCATCTCAGCTAGGCCCGCTCTCAAGGTAGCTCTATCCAGGTGGAGCCACATTACAGAAGGACCGGCCAGGAGGGGGCAGTGCACAACCAAAGGAAGGTCTCTCTAAAGGTCAAGGTTACCAGGGTGCCTGGAGCCTGCCCCACCCTCCCACTGCTGTGCATGCCCCTTAATCTCTCCAGTGTGTGCCTGTGGGAATATGAGGTTCCACCCAGTGGTGTGAACAGTGGCAAACGCCACCTCTCTCTGCGTCTCAGTTTGCATCTCTGCAAAACAACAGGGATGGACCGGTTTGATGTTTCTGAAAAGTGGAGAGAAATAAATGGACATTTAAAAATGGAAATCACTATGTATTTATTTTAAAGTGTATTAGACCAAAAAAAATAACTAGCACATCAAACCTGTTATTTCACAGATATTATTGCTTAGAGTGGGGCTAAAGTAGGCATTCAAGTAAAAAAAAAAAAAACAGTGAGTCAATGTAAAAGAAAGTATCAATTAAATAATAGTACAGGTAGTAAGATGATGGTGAATGGCTACAATTGGGAAAACACTGGTCTGCCTCTGATGTTCTAGAATTCTGTCATTTGCAGTGACTCCTGTCCTCGCTGGGGGTGGAGGCAGGGAAGAAAGGAAGGAGCTGCTCTAAGAGTTGGGGTGCTGGGTCTTGGAGCGGAGGGGCAGAAATTCGGCAGATGGGCCGTGTCCCCACCACCAGCCCTTCCTTTCCCCGTGGAGGGTAGGGTTCTTGCCCTCCTCCCCGCCTTCTTTCTCAGCTTCCCTGCAGTTACTAAGGAGTGGGAGGCTGCGAGGGGCTGTGTTCTGAGAGCTCATCTGCTCCCTCTTTCTCACCCAGCACCCTGTTTGGCATAAACTATTCAGGGTGATGATTAACAAGGATGCGGGAAGGCACTGGGGATGGGGAGAGAAAGCAAGGTGGTGTGTTTAGCGTTTGCTCACAGACGTGGATGTCCAACCTGGAATGACCATCTAATGATTCCCAGACTTGCCCAGGCATCGGCATCACCAGGCGATTCATTAGAAAGATGATTCTAGGGCCCCACCTTAGGCAATTCTGATTCTGGGGCCCCAGCGTCTGTGTTTTACAAAGCTCCCCAGCCCCTGCTGAAGCTTCTAGGTTTGCTTCTCCCTCAGTGTACCGGGGAGACACCAAGACTCAGAGAAGTTGTGTCACTTACCCAGAGTCACCCAGCAACTCAACAACAGATGTCCCAGTGACCCCCAGCTCATTTGTCCCACTAAGTATTGCTTGCTGAGCCTGGTCCACAGTCTGCAAAGAGAACGCCACTGGCAAACATAATTTGTTTGAGCCTCCTTTGCTCTGGGCTTCTCAAGGATTTTCCGCAGAATAGAACATGCTGTGTGAGCAGCCCTGTGCTGAGAGGGCCGGAGGGTTGGTGAGGGCTGGAGGAGGGTGGCAATGGAAGGCATGGCTGGGAGATGCGGGTTTCTCTCTGCAGTTGCCAGCCTGCACAATTAGCCTGCTGAGGGCAGGAGCCAACTCGGATGACACCATCAATAGTTGGGTTTTCACATGGGATCCCGAAGGAGCAGAATTAGGAGCAGTGGCTAAGATACATTTCAGATGGGATTTTCTAACAGTAATTAGTGACCCTGGAAGCAGTTGATCCTAGAGCAACCGTCCAGCTCCCTGCTTTTCTTTATTGTAAAACATTTAACATGAAGAATACAGGGCCACATATATATGACTCCCATGTTCCCAGGGACCTAGATTGTGAGCATGACATCACAAATAAATCGGGGCTTCCCAGCCTATTTCCCCAACCCCCCCCCCCCACCCCAGCCCAGCCCAGAGTGTCACCACCGCATTCCCTGAGGTTGCTGTGAATCATTCCTGTACACATTTTCATATTTATGCTATGTATGTATGTATTCATAAAACACATAAAGTTTTGCTTTGCAGATTTTTCAAGTTTTCGTAAATGATATAATATTGTACGTTGCCTTCTGCAACGTGTTTTCATTCAACATTTTGTTTGAAATTTATCCATGTTAATGTGCAGAGCTCTGCAGAGTACATTATCACTGTTCTAATCCTTTTCACTCTAGGGACCACAATTTATTAATCTTTTCTTTGGTTGATGGGCATTTGTTTCCAGTTTTGTACCATACAAACCACACGGCTGTGGACATCCTAGAATCTGAAAGTCTGGCTAGTTTCTGCCGTGCCCCATCTAGACTTAAGCTGCAATCGTCAGACTTTGGAATTTATGTAAGTCTGAGAGGGGCCAAATGCCTCTCCTTCATATTTTTTAATTTGTACGTCTCTGATCATTGGAGCTGAAAGGTTTTCATCGTTTTATGGGTCTTCTGGATTTCCTCTCCTGTGAATTGCCTTTGTATCCCAGGCTGTTTCCTTGGGTTGTTTGTGTCGTTCTTACTGATCTGTGACGGCTCTAATCCTGGGTCTGCTGTTACTCTTATGCCAGTCAGTGACTTGTCTTTTCGCTTTATTTATGGAGTCCTGATGCACAAGGGTTTTACATTTTAATATAACCAGCAGCACCAATCTCTTCCTCTGTGATCTGGGCTTCTGTCAGCTGTAGAAGCTGAGCCTGTTTCTCCAGTGTATCGCCCCTTGGCAGGCCTTGTGGTGGAGTGAGAGGTGGGTGACCTTTCCAGCTGGGTCGACCTGGGCTGAATTCAGCCTGAGAGGTTCATGGGCTAGGTGAACTTGGGAGGAAGTTATTTTACCTCTGGGTTCCAGCTTCCTCACTTTTAAAATTGGGATGAAGGGGAATTCATTCCTAAAGAAAATCAATCCTAAATATTCATAGGACTGATGCTGAAGCTGAAGCACCAATACTCTGGCCACCTGAAGTGAAGAGCCTACTCATTAGAAAAGATCCTGATGCTGGGAAAGATTGAAGGCAAGAGGAGAAGGGAGTGACAGAAGATGAGATGGTTGGATGGCATCGTCAACTCAATGGGCATGAGTTTGAGCAAACTCTGGGGGATAGTGAAGGACAGGGAAGACTGGCGTGCTGCAGTCCACGGGCTTGCAAAGAGTTGCATAATTTAGTGACTGAACAACAACTAGTGGTTAGGACTCGGTGCTTTCACTGTCGTGGACAGGGTTCAATCCCTGGTTGGGGAACTGAGATCCTGCAAGACTCACAGCGCAGCCAAAAATAAAAATAAAAAAATAAATAATAAACTAGGGATGAGGACAGTCTCCAGTTCTCTGGGAGGTGATGAGGAGGAGGGCGGTGGCATGAAGTACTGAGGCCCCCAGGGAGGACTCCCTGAGAAAAGTCTCTGGGGAAGTTAACCCCTGAGACCCACCCAGTGTGTCTTCCGCTGCCTTGTCTGGCCCAAAGGGATCAACAGAGTCTCCTCCCATCTAAGTACTGGTACATCTCAGAGTGGGGCTGCGCCTTTGGAGGAACTGGAACATGGGGAAACCAAATCTACCACCCCTGGGTCCTGAGCAGGGCTCAACAGCTCTGGAGGCAGGGACGTGAGTGAGTGGCATTCCTGGTTCTGGCAGGAGAGGAGGGAGGACGCACACCACAGTGGCCGAAAGCAGCCCATTCAGCATGATAGCAGACTTGGGAGAGCATCTAATGCCTCCAAGGGAAATATTTGTCAGGGAAAGAAAGGGGCACACGGGCTGTGTGACTTTCACTCATATGTGACCACATGACGCCCACATAAACGGGTCTCTTGAGGCCACAGCAGGTGGGTTATCCCTGTTCCCTCCATCCTGGGTACAGCACTCTGTGGGGGTGGATCAAGCTGGGAGTGGGTGGGCAGAGCCCTCTCAGGTCAGCAGGCTCTTGGATGAGGCCACACAGCTGTAGTCAACAAGGCCAGAAGATGCCTATTTATCCTACTTACTGACCCCGAAGCACTGCCACTGACACCATTACCACCACGGACGGAGGTTTCAGTCTGCTCAGATAACCAGAGCACTGGATGGCAGTCGGGAACACTTTTTACATTGAAACTGATTTCTGGAGTAGGTGGTACATACTCGTGATGCAAAATTGTAAAGGTACAAAAAGGATGCAGAGAAAAGTCAGTCTCCCAGCTTCCCACCCCTCCCTTAGATTCCTAGGAGGAAGCAACATTACTGCTGAGTATATACATATATGTATTTACATGACATTGAGCGTGGCGCATTATACACACAATGGTAAACCTTCTATTTATTTTCCTACCTTATCTTGTCTCTCCAAAATTCAGGACCTGGAGTATAACAGGCTGGAGTGAAAGTTCTAAGAATGATGGATTAGTGAATGGGGGGTGGTGGATGAGTAAATGATATCCATCCAGGTTTAGGCCTCTTGTACTAGGTATTTTGAGACATATCCCTAACCTTGGGACGTTTCCTCTTTCCTTGCCATGTTGCTGCAGGTGGATAAATTCAGGCCTTCTTGACCCTGGCATAGAGCCATAATAGGGGAACCAAGTGAACAAGGCTGCGGAACAGCTTAATTGTCATTTCCACCAGCAGATGGTTACCAGGGAGACTCAAAGAATGTTAGAACTGGGAGGGGTTTTTCAGAGGCAGCCTGACAAAATCTCAGAATTGGGGTGGGTCATTCCTCCAGTTCTGTATGACTTTTTAAATGTTCATTCTGGTGATAATCTAAAACAATTAAAAATTATATTTTTGGACCATCTGATTGTCCAGTAATGCTGCATGGCCACATGACTATTCCCATGTTGGTGTTTGTGTTTATGATCATATGGGCACTGGGAGAATCAAGGATTCCACAGCCCCCTGAATAAACCAAGAATTTCATGTAGATCAAACTGAGCAGGTTCTTATATTTTGTGTGTACAGAGCCCCGCAGTCAAGATCTCTTGACATATTCTTTGGATCTTTAAAGGCATCTGAACATTACTCTAGTACCAGAAACTCGGTGAAGACAAGAGGATGCCAGGCGAGGGTTGGGAGTCTGGATGTGAGTCCTGTCTCTGCATCTGACTGGCTGGGTCACCTGGACTCTCCTGTCTCTTCTGTTTTAATTTCTCCATCAATAAAACAGGGATCAAAATGCCTTTCTTACAGGATATTACGAAGGCAAAATGAGAGAGTAAACCTGAAAGTTCAGCCCTCTCATTTCATGAAGAAGGGAGATGAGGCAGGAGGAGGTGAAACAACTTCTTCAACATCAATTATTGGCAGAGCTAGGCTGGGAACCCAGGCTCCTAACCTCACCTGGTGCTCCTCCACGGCCCGGGCACCTAGGCCATTAGCAGTGATAGTGTGATTCTAATTCTGGAAAGTGTTAATAATAACATCTCAGAGGGGGCCTGCCACTGTTTGCGCAAACACACTATCTTTATTTTTATTTGTTAAAGAGATTGAATTAAGGAAACCAAAACAAATAAATGAGCACGCTAAACTCCCCACAACCACACCTCTCTTCCTGGAGCAAAACCAAATTCTTCCTCAGGCAAAAGGTCAGACAGGAGACAGAACACCCAAACAAGCCCTGTAGGGCCTGACACTTTGATTTACCAGTTGGCTGTGGTGAAGGGCTGCTGAGCTGGGTATGTGTGTTTCATTTTCCACACCTGCTACTCTGGGAGATGTGGTTTCAGGGTCAGGGTCACCCAGGGCAGGCTCTGAGCTTCAGAAATCTGGGACCATGTCTGGTCAATGGTGTTTCCTCCAAGCTCAGCTCAGGGCTTTGCATACAGTAGGCGCTCAATCAATGTTTTGAGAATAAAGGCATGTGTGGCTAGCATCACGTTCTTTGTTTTTAAAGATTCGAAAGTGTGGGACTTCCCTGGTGGTCCAGTGGTTAAGAATTCACCTTCCAATGCAGGGGACACCTGTTTGAGGGGCTTTCCTGGAGGCTCAGATGGTGAAGAATCTGTCTGCAATGCAGGAGACCTGGGTTTGATCTCTGGATCAGGAAGATTCCCTGGAGAAGGGAATGGCTACCCACTCCAGTCAGTATTCTTGCCTCGAGAATTCCATGGACAGAGGAGCCTGGTGGGTCAAAAAGAGTCTGTGGGTTGAAAAGAGTCAGACACAACTGAGCAACTAAAACTTTCACTTTTTCCTTCACAGGAAACTAAGATCCCACATGCTGTGGAGCAACTAAGCCCTCGCATCCCAACTAGAACTCGACACAGCCAAATAAATAAATATATTAAAAAAAAAATTCAGAGGGGCCTCTCAATGAAGACCTGTCTCAAAAATCCCTGTTCAAAACCAGGAGGTCAGGAAGCAAAAAAGTCAGGGCAGAAATGGCCTGTGGCTTGAATTTCAGGGGCCAGGCAAGTGGTAAGCAGAGAGTGAGGCCTGGTCCAGAGGCTGAGGTCAAAAACAACAGGATGATTGATTGATTGATTGATTGTATCAAATCTCTGTGCTGAGTATATTCCATACATAAGGCTAGGGACTGGATGCTGGGGATCCCAAGTGGAGAATATCTTACATCCCAGGAACCTCCAGTCTGCGATGATGAGCACACAGTAGTTAAGAAGAGTTTGGGCTCAAGCTCCTACTGTCCAGCACAGAGAACTCTGCTCAATGTTTCATGGCAGCCTGGATGGGAGGGGAGTCTGGGGGAGAATGGATACATGTATATGTATGGCTAAGCTCCTTTGAGTCCCTGTCAAAACATTGTTAATTGGCTATACTCTAATATAAACAAAAGGTTTGTTTTTTTTTTAAGAAGAGTTTGAGCTTTGGAGTCAAACAGACAAGAGCACAAACCACAGCTCCACAACGTGTGACCTTGGACAAGCCCCTTTGCCTCTTCTCTACATGCTGGTTTCCCTCCTTGTAAAACAGGATGAAGACTAGTAACTGCCTCCTCTGCTGGTAAATAAGATACAACCCAAAGGCACAGAGCACCTGGCCCAGAGAGATTGCTTCGTACCTGCTATCCAGCATGGCCACCTGATGGGGCCTGGACCCCGCTAAGTGTGGGCCCAGCTCCTCCTTCTGCCTGAGCCCCCAGCAGCTTCTCTGACCCAGCTGGAGGAAGAAGCTCTGATGGGCATCTCCTGTCCATGCATATCAAGTTATTTATAGTTGATTTGTTATTGTAGTTGTTGTGGTTGTTATTTCTACTAAGAACATTGAGCTATGAATAAACTGTGTATTTCTCTTGATGAATGTGGAAGAGAGATTCTCTAGGGTGTGCATAAGAATAATAATAAACAACTGGAAAAATAAGGGCATTGAGTAATCAGGATGAATGCTATGGAGCTGGAACCTGGTCCTGAATGTGTTCTGAGAGGCCAGGTGTTAACCTGATACTTGCTGGATCCCAGAGAGGTTGGGGGGTTGGGTCCCCAGCGTAGGAGCTGGGGCAGCCAATGCACAGGGCGTCATGTGGTCAAGGGATTGGGGAGAGACTCAGAGAAGTAGCTATTTATCAATCAGTATTAGTTGGTTACTAATAACAACATGGAATTATTTCAAAATTTTAATAATCAATGGGGTCAGAACGGTAAGCATTAGTGAATAAATGCCTGGGAGTATATATCTCTAAGAGTGGAATTGCTAGGTTGTAGAGAAAGTGAATGCTCAACTTTACAAAATATAATAACAGCTCATTTTCCAAATCACTTATCCCCACAGACATTTCCTCTAGCAGAAAGCATCAGGTTGATCACCATCCTTGACAACATTTGGCATTGTTGGGTTCCTTTTTTTTTGCCAATCTAGTGGATGTAAAATTATATCTCATAAAGGTCTTAATTTGTATTTTTCTGAATCCTAATACGGATAAATATCTTTTCATATGTTTATGGGCCTAGAGTTATTTGCTTAAAGGACCTGGGTCTCTGACACCACAGAGAACATTCTGCTACCTGCCTTGATCAACAGCCAGGTGGAGTAGTAAGAGTACTGGTTGGCAAGCCAGGAGACCTGGGTTCCAGCCTCAGTATGGTCCCACCCTGTGACCTTAGGCAAAGAAGTTTGCCTTTTCAGAGCCTCAATTTTACCACCAGCCATGTTGCTGCTGCTGCTGCTAAGTTGCTTCAGTCCTGTCCGACTCTGTGCGACCCCAAAGATGGCAGCCCACCAGGCTCCCCCATCCCAGGGATTCTCCAGGAAAGGACACTGGAGGGGTTGCCATTTCCTCCTCCAATGCATGAAAGTGAAAAGTGAAAATTAAGTCGCTCAGTCATGTCTGACTCTTAGCAACCCCATGGACTTCAGCCTACCAGGCTCCTCAGTCCATGGGATTTTCCAGGCAAAAGTACTGGAATGGGGTGCCATTGCCTTCTCCACAGCCATGTTGGGGAGACTCTTATTCTGCTCACAGTTTGGGCAACTAAGAGATCAAGTGAGATCATCGAAGTAAATGTGCTTTGGGGACTGAAAAATCCTGTACCAGGCAGGGATACATATGCATTCCCTCTTTGAAGATGGTTTAAGAAGGCTGTGAAGCCCAGCAGAGCAGGAGCAACCAGCCAGCCTCCTGGAAGCAGAGAGCACCAGCTCCAAAGCTTAAATGAATGCCTCCCTCCTTCTTGCCTCCACCCTACCCCAGGCACCTCTCTACCCCCATCAGGCAGAGAAGAAACAAATCCCTTCAACTCCTGGCACAAACATGACTTAGGTAGCCCAAGGGGCTTTGGGAACCCAAGCTTGTGCTCAGGCTGCTCTAATTTGAAGACAGTGGGCCCTCTGCGGCCTGGTACTATCCTGGGAGGACTGCTGAACCGGCTACTGAGCTATCAGGTGGCCACAGACTTAGCTGCCCAGGCAGAGTCATAGAGATGCAGACACACCCCGGGTCTAACTCTGAGGTTCATGGCTCTTTCTTCTGTTCCTTCTGGCCTCACATCCCTCACCTGTTCAATAGCAGGAGGGTCAGCCTAGGCAGGCATGTCTCAAAGTGTGTGCTATGGAACATCAGCCATCATATGCAATTACTCATTCAGTCACGTTTGACTCTTTGCAACCCCATGGGCTGTAGCCCGCCGTCATGGACAGTGGTTAATGAGGGGAGGAAAGATTCTGCAGTGAATGGAACATTGAGTTCAGTTATTTTTGCAGCTAACAACATTTACTGAATGTACCAGGCACTGGGTTCAGCACTTTACAAGCATTTTCTCATTGACCTCTTACAATTACTCTGAGGCCTTATGGCTGGCTGCATTTTACAGTTGAGGAAACGAAGGCTTGGCAAGGTTAGACTTACCCAGGGTCTCTCAACTGGTAAGTGGCAGAGTCATGATTCAAACCCAGGTGGCCCATGTCCAGATCTCTTGTTCTCAATCAAGTTGAATTAACAGGGTGTGGTGATGGGTGACATTGTAGGGGCATGAGAAAGGGGAAGGAAGAATTCACATGCCTCCCCCCCCTCCTTTTTTTTTATTCAGCTCAGTGTCATATAGTGTCCTGGTGGGTGGTGGAGAAATACAATGAAAAAAAAAACCAACAACAAACCATCCTACTCTACCCCTTAGAACTTCAGACAAGGAGGAAGATTTAGCAGAGCATGAGACATGCTGAGTTGG